GGGGGGGGGGGGGGAGCTGCTTTCAGCTGGATCAGAACCGCTGGTGCTAATACAAGGGAGAAAGTGGGAACATGCTGCCCCTTTTGGGCTGGTACAGCCTTAAACTGACTGAAGCAAAGCGTGAAACTGAACCCGTTATGTATTCTGTAAGTTATTTCAGGAAGGAATTGTATCTCTGAATCACGTTTGCAGCGCCTGTGGCTCCTAATCCCCTAATGCTACAAATAATAAATCATGTGCCCTGGTTGAAATATTAGACGAATTTTGTAATTTAGAATTTGCTTGTCTACTCTGATAAATGCTGCTTTTTGATGCGTAGTAAATATTCTCTTTATCGTTACAGGTCCCTTTCCTGTAGTCAGTTTGATGGTGGGATCTGTTGTATTGAGCATGGCCCCTGATGATAACTTTCTCATAGATGGCAGTAATGCTACAGGGGCTAACGGTACTGGGCCACTGATAGACACTGAATCCAGAGATGCCCAGAGAGTGCTGATTGCCAGTACCCTCACGTTTCTGGTTGGAATTTTACAGGTAAAATAGTTGACTTGAAGGCACGGGTTGATATTGCTTTAATTTTAAGGGGTAGAACTATAGCATGGAAATACCTACTAGGGCAGAAAGACATTTTCCCATAGTAAAAACGTAGAAATGAAGGAAAGTTATCTCAAACTCTGAAGAGCTTGCAGGGGACTATTCTTATCCTGGGCAGAGTTTGTAGCAGCGTGACGGGGGGATGCAGGCAACAGAAGAATAACCCTGTGACTGTAGAGCAAGAGACCTCCACGAAAATAAGTGCTATGAGTACATATCCTGGAGGATCCTTTCACACAGCTCTTCAGGTCTCCCTTATTTCTGTGGATGACATGATATTAAGCTACACTAGGCTGCCTTGGGGAAGATGCCCTTAGACTCCGTGTCAACAAAGAGAAAAGAACGAGGCATAAGAAACCATCAGAAAAAAAGTAGGTGTGAATTTGTACTAGGGAAGGCAAAGATGGGCTTTAGTGCACAGAAAACAAGTTCTAACGAATGACACATCAGTGTCCTCTGGAGTGAGGTCGGTGGCATCCAAAATTTGGCCTTTGCCCGCTTCTCTATGAAAACAGGGCTAGATCCTCCCACTTTGCTGTGCGCATTACTTCCCTTGAAACTGATTTGTCTCATGCAATGAGTTTGTCTGTTGTTGAATAAAATGGGTTTCATGCTTTCAGGCTCTCTCAAGTCACAGTCTTGCTTATGCCCATGAGCTTATTCCATGGATAAAATCATTTAACTGACTCGGCCAAAGCTCACCTGGGTCAAGGCAGGTGCAGATACTGTGATCAGACCTGATCAGTTTTCATGCTTTCCAGAGGCATGTTCATGGGAGTGAATGTGAACGTTTTTGCCGTTTCATTGCTCTATCATTTCATTGTTTAGCAAGTTGTTGTTCTTCATGATTTTTCCAGGTAGTATTTGGAGTCCTTCAGATTGGTTTCATTGTGAGGTACCTTGCAGATCCACTAGTTGGGGGATTCACAACTGCAGCTGCTTTTCAAGTGTTTGTGTCACAATTGAAAATAGTCCTAAATGTTTCAACTAAAAACTATAATGGTGTCCTTTCCATAATATATGTAAGTACAGCCTTCTAATTGGCTTTTATTTTATGCCAGAATGTTTTCATAATTGTTTATTATTTTCCATCTTCTGCTTCCATTTCATGCAGAAATGATTCATATATATTGTGGTAAGTACAGGATATTCGTTTAGGTCTTAGTCTCACTCTCATCAAGATCTGCAGGTTGTCATGTAGAACTGTGGGGCTCTAAGCAGCTGCTTTCTTGGTTCCCCAGACCATGAAAGGCTAATTGCAATAGGTAAGTCTTTTCCAGGCACAGCTATGTTCCACATAAAGTGTAAACATAATATCCAGCAAAACAATTTTTCTTCTCTAGGTCTGCCAGCAGACCTGGTAGAGTGATGGACTAATTAATCCAGTAGGTTTTTTCTATCTCTGTTTTGTACGTTTATGGAAGGGTGGTACAGCTAGTAGAAAGTTTTTTTGAAAAGGAATTAAATGGTTCTGCCAGCCCCAGCAAGCCTAAGGTCGGAGTGCTGGCTTTTTAAGTTAAAGCTCAGAGTTTCTGCGTTCGAACAGGTGAGCCAAGCAAACTCGTTTGCAGATGTGCGTAGAGCAAAGAAATTGTGATTTCTGGCTCGCTCAACCAGTGATTTGCTGTGTCAGCTTCAGCAAATCTTGGATGCGCTTCAGAAGTGGTATTTGGCAGCCTGCAACACTAAGCATCCAACGTGAGGAGAACTCACAACCCCCCCCGGTGGGGACCGCTCGTTCCCCGGCACTGAGTGGCAGCGGGATGGATGATAAGTGAATACTGTAAGCAGGACAAGGGGCAAGACATGGCTGCAGGCTGCCCACAGAGAAGCCTCTCAGTTCGTGTTTCAGGAAGGTTTCTCCCTTAGCTTAGAAAACATAGCAGATGTTAGATACTTTATTTCAAAAACAGGGGAAGAGGGTCTTTTCAGGGTGGTGGCAGTGGTGCTGCTGCTGCCCCCTCCCCTTGCCTTTCCACTAACTGCCCGGTATTTGGGGAGCTAACCAGGATGCCAGAAGTCTGTTTCCAACCTCTTATTGCATCAGCTCGTTCTGCCAAAGCTGCCTCACTTGGCGTGGAAAAATGAAATATTCACAGAAACAAAGGGCAAGGGAGAATTACCGTGGTGGCTAGGAGAGGGACGGAGAGGTTTCGGCAGCTTTTCTTTGACCAGCCCTTCCTGTTTCCTCTGTACACTCAAAAGTGATACTTTTGTCATGTTTGTATATACACTACATGAATATAAAAGTCTGTTGCATGCACTGTAGTTTGCAATAAACAATCGGACGGAGCAAGGGCATAGCAAGGGTAGATAAGGCAGCTGCCAGTTGTAGTCCGGTTGGGAGAGCCTGCTAGCCTCTGATCAAACGCTGGTGGGAGGGTTAACGTACCTGACGGTGAGGGTGGGCGACCGCTTTTCTCAAGTGCAGCCTGAGGGGTGCGGGCTGGCGTGCTCATTCTGCGGAGGAGAGCAGAAAAAGGGAAGATAAAACCCACAGACTGGATGTGCTGGGCGTACAGTGAGCCAGAGACTTGCCCAGGGGTCTGCTAGCTGTCTTTTGGATCAAAAAATGAGCATCTCTACTGCTATGTGCACAAAGTGAAGGAGTTATATATGTCTCCTTCCTTGCTCTAATAACAGGCAGAGGTAAAGCACAGGTAGGGGGGGTGAGCCCTTGTTCTTAGTATTAGTTTTCTAGAAATTGGGAAGCAGAAGCAATCTGTGCAGGCAACTCTTGCAGTTGTGCCTTTTGAGTTAAATTCACCATGAAATCCTTTCACTGATTCGGTAACAGCTTGACAGGACATTGGAGAGACTTAGGCTCCCCTGGGCCTGAGCAAAGGAGTGCCTAACCCCCGGGCTCCTCCATAACCCTGCGCACCTGTTTCTTCTTGTGAGTGTATTCGCAGCCTTTAAAGGGATGAGGGTGTATTTTAAATTGTCATTTTTATTTTTCAGACTCTTGTTGAAATATTTGAAAGAATTGGTACCACCAACATTGCAGATCTTATTGCTGGACTCCTCACCATTTTTGTCTGCATGGTAGTTAAAGAAATAAATGACCGGTTCAAACACAAGATACCTGTACCTATACCAATAGAAGTTATTGTGGTAAGAAGAGAACCATAACAAAAGCTGGAAACAGCTACAATAGATGGGGCTGGCTACAGGAAGACAAGAGCGGGTTTTTTTGGTTTTGAAACTGTTGTTTTATTTGATTACAGACAATAATAGCCACGGGCATTTCATATGCTGCTGACTTGGAAAAAAAATACAATGCTGGCATCGTTAAGAGCATTCCTAGAGGGTGAGTGCCTTTGTATTTTGGGATACAGATAATTTTTTAATTGGCTAAAAACGACAGAGGTAAGATAAAAGACGTAAAAGAGAGACTGAGAACTATAATCCGAGTTTAGGACTCCGAGCTGGAGATTTCCTGAGTTTTACTCCTGGTTCTGTCACTGATGCCACCTAATTATGTTGCCTAGCTTTTCTTTAAAAGGGGTAAAATGGGTTTAGGAATACTTACGTGACTCACAAAGTTCATTTGAGAATTAGTTGTTTCATGCTCACAAAGTAAATACATGACTATGGACGACATAAGAACATAAACAATTAAAGGATTTTTTAACCAGGAAATTCTGCTTCTGCAAAGATTTCATTTTTAAAAACATGGGTTGTCTCAGCGTGGTCCATATTCATGCTGCTACTGTTATCCTAATTAATATTGTCACTTGCATATTCACAGGAGCAAGGATTTTGAGGATTACACTGGTAGAGACTTTCACTTGAAAGATTCAGAGCACTTCACAGTAGTAACCTTCACATTCCATTTGCTGTTCAAGCCTTGATTAATTAAAATTTGTGGAAAACACAGTAGGGGATACAAATGTTTTTGAGATCTTCCGATGGAGTATGTTAACAATAGTATGAAGTGTCATTAATGTATTTATGTAACTCGTCATACTATTGAATATATCCTTTATTCAGTGCTTTAAAAAATGTACTTCTTCACTTTGCTATCACAAGGCCAAATCTCAGTCACACTGAGAACAACGGGAGCTTTGTTGCTGACTAATAGCATCAGGATTTGGGCTACGGTGAGCTAGATGAGCGTGTTCTGTATGTCAATGGGCTGTTTCCACCTTCTTATTAACTTGAAATATTACGCTTGAAATTATAAGCAACCTGTATGCTTCTGCCTCAAGCTCCTTGACAGCTCTAGGAAGAAAAGAATTTGATCCAAGTTGATAATATTAATATATTTTCTAAATGCTAGATTTTTGCCTCCTGAACCTCCAGCTGTCGGCATGTTTTCCCAGATGATAGCAGCCTCATTTTCCATTGCTATCGTTGCTTACGCTATTGCAGTCTCTGTGGGGAAAGTATACGCAACCAAATATGACTATGCTATTGATGGAAACCAGGTATGTAAAACTAAAATAGTTTACAAACGTGGAGAACATAAGTTCTGTTTCATGCTGACTTATGCAGTTAGATGAAAGAGACATCTATGCAGATGTGTAAGACAAAATGTAGAATTTGACAGGAGAAATTAATTTAACTGTTGCAAAACATAGATGAAGTGGCCATGTATTATCTGACAAATTTACCACACAGAGATGGGCCAGATGTGCTCTCCCCTCGGTGGGGGCCTTTCATCCTAATTCATTTCTTCTCTACTGCTTTAGTGTCCGAGCTTGCTCTGAAAGGGTAATTAGAGCAAAGCACCGTGTAGAGGAATTTTCAGGTGATGTAAAGTTGACATGGGCAACTTCAGCAACCTGCTTTCCGGCTCTATCTGTAAGGCATCTTCTGAGGTCAGTTGCTGGAGCAGGGGAGAAAGCAATGTTAAGCTAAGAAGCTGCTTCAGGCAGCTTTATTTAGGCTTAGTCTACGTGCAGCACCAGTATCCACTGAGCTTTTTCACTTAGGGTGTGATTTTATTCCGATAGTATTAAACTATGCTTCTCAGTGTGACACTAGTTATGTCAATATGAATATACTTGTAACTGTATAGCTAAGTCCTGTAGCTTCACAAAAATAAGTGCCTACCAGTATATGAACGTACCTGAATAGCTGTCTGCATCAGGCCGTTGTACTCTTATAATAAAACATTAGCTTCTAATAAGCCTATAGCTAGAACGTTGTACGAGCGATGCACTGAAAAGCTCTTAGAGGATTCCTGCAGGTTTTCAGTGTCTGCATGGCTGGTTCTGTGGCTTGCTCGTGGGCGTGGGAGAAAAACGCCGTAAAGCTTCCTTGTCCCGCATCTATCCCGGTTTTGAACCGTACCCTTTGAGCATTTAGGAAAATGCATTCAGACAGTAAAAAAATAAACTGAGCACCTTGCTTAAATAGGTCCTTCCGTATTTTAGTGCTCATGAATTATGCCCAGGTTGTAAAGCTGGATTTTGGAAATACTGTTATGCAGTATGTAACAGAGTTATATTTGTGAACATGCTAGTCACTTTATAATACACAAAGTTCATATCTAGTAACGCTTTGATTTAAGGTTGCCTAAAATGCATTGACTTTCAGTTTAATAAGTCTGTATGAATAATGCATATTCTTGAAAGTGCTGTTTATGCTGTTCTTTTGCTGAATATGCTGTACTGCCAGCACTGATATGCTTCAAAGATACTAATAAAATATTATAGTAGTCAAATTACTGCCTATAAAAAGCAAAGTGACTTCCTTCCAACACTAATGCTGACTTTTACACATACTGAATGTTAAATACAGCCATGAATGATGGGCAAATAGTTTACTTAAAGTAAATTGGAGAAGTTCAAATAAGGTTGTAAATGCAGGTAGTAAAATCGTTTCGAAGGAGAGTCTAATCCCATTATCTGCCAGTGTTTATTTTGTCTTCCCAGATTCATAGATTGTCAAGGCCCAGGCACACTAGGAACTGTATTTCTGGCTTTTTCTCCCGAACACAGCTGTTATGCAGGAATGGGCACGAATCATCTAGGTCTGTTGCGTTAAAGAGCACGACTTCAAATTCTTGCCCTTGTAATTAGAGCTAAATGAAAAGCAGAGGTTTTGGCTCACAGTGTTGGCTCACAGGTTTTGGTTCTTTCGGGAGAAGGGGAGCGAGAGTCAAAACCGAATCTTCAATTACATTTTTAAAAATCTGCAGCGGGTGGAAAGCTCCTGCGACTGTGTATCAGCTCAGTGAAAGCAATGTTTCCCTCAATTACGTGGGACTGCAGGCAGCTCCCAAAGGCCTCATTTCCCGGACGTACTTCAGAGGAATGTCCCAGATCCCAGGGCGTCCAGCTCCTGGGGTTCTTGTCACTTGAGCAGAAAAAACAGCATCCGTAGGTGCCAGCATCAGTGACCCTGGGGCAAATCTGTGAGAACGCTGCCGGGGACTCAGCAGGAGTTCATTGGGATGTTCGGGCTGAAATTCTTTTGGCTGAACAAACCAGAAGTTTTCAGTGAAACCGCATTTCTTTGGAAAGCTCCTGATTAGTTCTACTAATAATAGAATGCCTTGTGTTAACGAAAGGCTCGTCTAAACTCAGACTGCTGTACTGATTTAATAGTATTTGTTTAGCTGATGGTGTTCAGGAGTTAAAATTACACCAGTCCCATGTGTTTATGCAATTCTACCACTGTAATTGGTAGAAAAGTTAGTTTTGGTAACAGTGATGGAAATAAGCTATAAATACCTTTGCTAATATGGGTATGCCCACCTTAATGAGGCTATACCAACTTGATTATATTGGTTTCTAAACAGATGTAGTTACATTGGCACAAGAAGAATGTGTGTACATTAACACCGATTACTACTCATCTAGACTATTCTCAGTAGCACAGTGCTCCCTCCTTTATAAACTACTGCAGAAAAATATTGTCATTCTACATTGCAAGATTGTCTTAAAGAACCTTTATTTACAGCACCATCTAATTATCTTTCAGGAGTTTATTGCCTTTGGGATCAGCAACATTTTTTCAGGAGCCTTCTCTTGCTTTGTTGCAACTACTGCTCTTTCACGGACTGCAGTCCAAGAAAGCACTGGTGGAAAGACTCAGGTAATGACCGCTTCTTGCTAGTCCTGGGCCCAGCTGAGTTTAATATTGCGGAGGACACAATGGGCACGTTTCACAAGGGGGTGAAAGGAGCCCTAAAATGATTGTATTGCTGGGATATGAAAATCCACAGGTATCTCAGCAAGCCGCTTGTGCTCCTTTTTGTGGCTCTGCCAGAAGAGGGCAATAAAGATTTACCTGGCATCGGTTACGTTAGTGGTCAGCAATCATTCAGGTCTAGCGCCTGAGAATTTCATTCCCAGTTACGGGACTATGTTTGTCACAGTGGGAATTGAGTGCGAGGGAGGAGAGCCTCTCCCAGAGGTCAGCCCATGCGGCCGGAGCAGCCCTGAGGTGTGCCATTCGTTCTCTGCCCATGTGCCATCTTTCTCGTATACTCTGTGTTACTCATCTCTGTTTCACAGACCTACAGCTTCACACTTATTTAACAGTGGAGATGTGCAGGACGTCCAGCAGCCCCATTTCTGGCTGACACGCGGACCCTGCTCCTCTCACCTCTCCGTGCAGCTCCACCTGCCGAGAGATGCTACCTTGCGTGTGGTTGTTTATGCTACCTGCTTAACTGAATTCACCCTGTGTAGCCGAAGCGTTTAATGATTGCCCGTCTATGCCTAAACGCAATGGCATTCTGGCAGGTCGCCTTGTTCCTGAAGAAATGTAATGTGCAGCTACTTGGGTATATTTCTTCGTAAGCCTGGAAACGTTAAGATAGAGTCTTTCTATGCTCATCTCCTCTAAACAGCGTGTCCTTTGCAGGTGGCTGGTATAATCTCGGCTGGGATTGTTCTGATTGCCATTGTAGCCCTGGGGAAATTGCTGGAGCCCTTACAAAAGGTACCGTCCTTCAGCACTGTCACCAGCACCAGTCACAGCCAAACACTCAGCTTTTATGGGCTGGATTAATAGCCCCGTTTGAACTATGGTGATTGATACCGGATGAGGCTCTGATTTATCAAGTACAATGTTGTACGCTTTGCAAACAGAAAACTGACAGAAGATTAAAATATCTGAAAATGCATTTTTTTGTTCTGAATAACGCTTTTTTTACTATTTTTGTTCACAGTCTGTGTTGGCAGCTGTAGTCATAGCCAACTTGAAAGGGATGTTCATGCAAGTGTTTGATGTTCCTCGTCTGTGGAGACAGAATAAAGTGGATGCTGTAAGTCATCTCATTTCTTCCACCCTTAATGTTTTTGTCTTTTTTTTTGCCTTTTAATGCCATGCAAGTGTCTCTTAACTACCACATAAACAGAGTTTCGTAGAGTTAACATCAGAAGACTTGAGCTCAGATTTGCTAATGGAAATCAGTTTCATGTGCATCCTTAAAATAGGAGTGCCATGAAGTCAGTTAAAAATTCTTCATTTTAGGCTTTACACAGTATTCTTCTTATTGTCTTTATTTGCTACATCCTATCATAAGGATGCTAATCAGGGTATTATCCCTGTGTGGTGACGACTCCTTCATAGCAATTAGCGTGGTTTACAGAAATCTTGCCTCGAGCGATGCCTTGAAAATCAGGATAAAGACAGCCTGTGGTCAGCTTTAGCATTCTGCTCTGATCCTCTGCACAGTTTGAATTGGCCAAAAAAGCTGACCTTTTCTTAATTCTTGCGCATATATTTATGTCATTATCACATTAGCATTCTGTTAGCCTGGATAATCTCAGGTAGCCCTCACAAAATGTTTCACACAGAATCACACAGAATCGTTGAGGTTGGAAGGGACCTCTGGAGATCATCTAGTCCAACCTCCCTGCTCAAGCAGGGTCACCTAGAGCATATTGCCCAGGATCACATCCAGACGGGTTTTGAATATCTCCAGGGAAGGAGACTCCACTACCTCTCTGGGCAACCTGTGCCAGTGCTCTGTCACCCTCACAGTGAAGAAGTTTTTTCTCAGGTTCAGAGGGAACTTCTGTTTCCTTGCTGTAGCAAGACTAACCCATGCTAGAATGTGTGCCTAAGAGCACTCAGCATGTTAAGGGATGTATGAACAGGCTGTTCTTGCCAACCACTGTAACCTTACCTCAGGGAACTTGCTCACATCTCCTACCAGGATTTCTGTGCAGCAGCCCCTCAGCATGGCTCTTTGGGCAGGAAAAGAGGGCATGGAAAGTACTTCACCATGCAATCCTTACTGTGCACAGGTTTTGGAGTGTGTGTCTTTGGGCAGTACTTGTTTTAAGTAAATTTGAATTTTTTTAGTCAATCCTTCACTAGTCAGCTTCATAGGTAAAAGATCCTGCTGGCTTCAGCCTTTTGAATGATTGGGTCCGCTGAGCGCTCTGCCTGGGCAGTGACATAATGAGGAACTGAGGAGTCCACTTCAACCGTTCTGCCTCAATATTCGGTAGAGGCTTTAGAAAATGCCGTCAACCTGTTCTTATGAAACTTCTCTTTGATACAGTTGTGATCTCTTAGGCATCACTGAGTAGCCCCCATTGCTCTCTGTGTGTCCTGTAGGAGGGTCATCTTACAGTATGTTGCATCTCAGGAAGAATAAATTGCTTCAAATTTCTAAAGTATGATTAACAAAAACTGCTACCATCAGGAAGAAAAAATGCAAGGGTTAACTTCATCCTTTTAAATTTCACTAAGGTAACTGGATCCTGGGAAAATGTCCCTCTGTTTTAAAAAAAAAAAAACAAAAAAAAACCCTGATATTTTTCCTAAAAGTCGAATATGTTTACTAAGGTGACAATGCACAAGAGTAGCTTGGAGAGGGAAGATGACTGTCATATGGAAGTCAGTTAATTGCCAGTGTGCTGTGGTTATCTTCAAAGCTAAATTCTTATGCTACTCCTATTGTCTGGTCTAGTGATTTTTTTTTATAGTGACCACAGTTGTATTTTATTTATTAAGAGACTTTACATTTGTTATTTCCTCTCTAGATGATCTGGGTTTTCACATGTGTCGCATCTATCATTTTGGGACTTGATTTGGGATTACTTGCTGGCCTCTTGTTTGGATTGCTGACGGTCGTGCTGAGAGTTCAGTTGTAAGTAACACAGGATCAGAAATATTTGTCAATGTTATACTATGAAAAAATAAGACAATACAGTGAAAAGCAAGATGATTTGTGGCAGAAAATCTGGTATTGACAAGGGTTTTGAAGTGGAAAAAATCTGTTCTTTAGAATAAAACATTGTTTCTGAGCTATCATTTAATTACCCAGGGAACTACAGGCCTGTCAGCCTCACCTCCATCCCTGGAAAGGTGATGGAACAGCTCATCCTGGAGGCCATCTCTAAGCATACGGAGGACAAGGTGATCAGGAGTAGTCAGCATGGATTCACCAAGCAGAAATCATGCTTGACCAATCTGATAGCCTTCTGTGATGTGACAAGTGGCTGGGAAGATGAGGGGAGAGCAGTGGATGTTGTCTACCTGGACTTCAGCAAGGCTTTCGACACTGTGTCGCATCACATCCTCATAGGCAAGCTCAGGAAGTGCGGGCTGGATGAGTGGAGAGTGAGGTGGATTGAGAACTGGCTGGATGGCAGAGCTCAGAGGGTTGTGGTCAGTGGCGCAGAGTCTAGTTGGAGGCCTGTAGCTAGCGGTGTCCCCCAGGGGTCAGTCCTGGCTCCAGTCTTGTTCAATGCATTCATCAACGACCTGGCGGAAGGCACAGAGTGCACCCTCAGCAAGTTTGCTGATGATACTAAACTGGGGGGAGTGGCTGATAGACCAGAGGGCTGTGCTGCCGTTCAGAGGAACGTGGCCAGGCTGGAGAGCTGGGCGGAGAGGAACCTCCTGAAGTTCAACAAAGGCAAGTGCAGGGTCCTGCACCTGGGGAGGAATAACCCCATGCACCAGGACAATTTGGGGGCTGACCAGCTGGAAAGCAGCTCTGCAGAGAAGGACCTGGGAGTCCTGGTGGACAACAAGTTGACCATGAGCTAGCAGTGTGCCCTTGTGGCCAAGAAGGCCAATGGGATCCTGGGGTGCATCAGGCAGAGTGTTGCCAGCAGGTCGAGGGAGGTGATCCTGCCCCTCTCCTCAGCCCTGGGGAGGCCACATCTGGAGTGCTAAGTCAAGTGCTGGATTTTTCAGTATAAGAGAGAAATGGAGCTACTGGAGCAAGTTCAGTGGAAGGCTACTAAGACAATGAAGGGACTGGAGCATCTCTCCTGTGAGAAAGGGCTGAGAGAGCTGGGCCTGTTCAGCATGGAGAAGAGAAGACTGAGAGGGGACCTGATCAATGTGTACAAGTATCTGAAGGGAGGGTGTCAAGAGGATGGGGCCAGACTCTTCTCCGTGGTGCCCAGTGACAGGACAAGAGGCAATGGGCACAAACGGAAACACAGGCAGTTCCGTCTGAACATGAGAAAAAACTTCTTCACTGTGAGGGTGACAGAGCCCTGGCACAGGTTGCCCAGAGAGGTAGTGGAGTCTCCTTCCCTGGAGATATTCAAAAGACATCTGGACGCGATCCTGGGAAATATGCTCTAGGGGACCCTGTTTGAGCAGGGGGGCTGGCCTAGATGATCTCCAGAGGTCCTTTCCAATCTCAACCATTCTGTAATTCTGGATGATAGACTGGCATAAGAGAGGCTGCATTATTTTGTCAGTACCTATTCTATATCATATTGGGTATTTTTGTTGATACTTGGCCATGTATTATTTATGCACTCATGTAGCTGCTGAGTTCTGAAAAGGGATATATTCCAGATCAAATATAAAATGATGTATGAATTCTGTAGTGAATTGATCACTATAGTAACTCTTAATATGTCATTATAATAGGGTATGTATGCGCATGCCAATAACCTTTTCGCTCGTTTCTTATACCAGACTGAGTGTACGTCTGTGGGAGAAAAGGAAGAGAAGGCATGAAAGCAGGACAAAATTTTTTCTGTGGCCTATTTTTCGCTGTTCTAATAACATGTGGGAGCTGAATGGTGAGGAAAGGTGGCTTTGCAGAATCTTATTGGCCTGTCTCATAACATTTTGTTGGCCGCTTCTCTGAAAATACAGCATAACATCTTTCCTTCAGCCTGAAGTCCAGAGAGTACAGCTGCGATCAGTACCAAAGCACAGTTGCACTCTCAGCAAATGTGTAAAATAGACCCTTCCAAAACATGTTACATAATAGTAGATTATAAAAAAAAGGAATTTTAACAGTCTCAAAACCCATTCACAAATTCAACTCAGATTTGTGAAATCAAGCTTAAAAAGAAGGGAGGTAAGGTTTTACACACTTCAGAACAATTTGCATCTGCTGTTAAAAGTGTATTTGGAGGCTAAAAATATTTTGGTTTTGTTATTGACCCAAATCCAAAGAAAAAGGGTTGAACGAGAAGTTTTAAGTAATCTGACAACAATGTTTGCTTCAATTGAAAAAAGTGATCAATTTCTTTCCGAGTGAAAAAACTATTTTTTCATTTGACTCAAGATAAGGTTCTTTTAATATATTTTTCTGGTTTGGGAAACAAATGGAACAAGTTATGCATCCAGCTCTCCTCAAAAATGGTGCACTCAATAGGCTGAGACCAAAGCACATTGTCCTTAACAAGGACCTTCCACTACAGATCAGAAGACGACCTTTGCATAGTGACACAAAACAAAGATATAGCGCTTTCCTGGTGGCGCGACTAGCTTGGCAGAAGAGAACAGACTCTAAGAGTCTGTGATGGTTTGCATGCAACAATCCTCCCATTCTGTGGATGCTTAAGGATGATGTTTTCCTTCACTGTCTTTTCTTTTCGTTTCTGTTAGTCCCTCATGGGGTGGCTTTGGGAACATTCCTGGCACAGATATCTACAAGAAGGTCAAGGAATACAAAAATGTAAGTCATTGCTGAGCTGCTTCCTTTCAGTCTACAAGCCACTGTAAAAGAAAGTTGTGCCTTGCAAACTAGGGACAACTTGAATTTGGGAGTGGCGTGCGTGAAGATAATAGTTTTCAGCGTTAAATGCTTCATCTCGATCCAAATGGTTGGTCCATATTGCATGCTGTGGTAGTAAGCTTCTAAAAACTGAATCAGCTGAACTATCAGCAAAGATAGGCAACAATCCATCCCATTTGGGATGAATTAGATGCCTGCCTAGATCCTTCTCAACAGCTGAACTGTTTCTTATTAGCCAAAATATGGGTGATGCTCCTTGACCTTATATTCTTTTGACAACAGGTTATAGAACCAGAAGGAGTGAAAATTCTCAGGTTTTCAAGTCCAATTTTTTATGCAAACATTGATGGACTGAAAAGCAGCCTCAAGTCCACAGTAAGTGATACGTGATGGCTTTGGGATTTCCTTGGAATTTTATCTCGGTAAAATTAAATTATTTTGACGCCTTGATCTTTTTTTCTGTAGGTGGGATTTGATGCGGTTAAGGTTTATAATAAGAGAATTAAAGCACTGAGAAAGATACAAAAGCTGATCAAGAAGGGGAAATTAAAAGCTACTAAGGTAAAATGATTTTTTTCTTTCTTTTCTTTCTCAAAGGATTACTGTTAGAGCTTATTACTTTAGCCTCAGTTATGAGCTTCTCTGTACTGATCTCTAAAATAGAGATGAAAAGTGTGACTGATTACTATTGTCAGAAGTATGGACCTGCAGGAGACTCGGCAGAACAGTACACCTATTGCCGAAGACCCCACAGGCCGCTATGATAGCTGTACCCCCAACTGCGGTAGAAACAACAGATTCCCTGATCTTCCCTCTAACCCTTACCACTGCAGATTGCCTCTGTGCAGTAGAAGTGCTGGCTCTTTCGTATGTCCGTGCTCCGGTTACCCAGCTTCCTATGCACAGTTGGGCTGTGCCTGTTGGTTGGCAGACATAGCCTTCCACATCCTCTTTAAAGGAAGCAGAGTATGTTTCTCTGAGTATGGAGTATCTATTTTTATAATCAAAAGCTTATAGGAGTGGCCAGGGATAGGTGACCTATTACATCTCCAGAGCTGGAAGCTAGGAATGGGCATAATGTTTTCAGTACTCTCAGTGCGGGATGCAACATTTTTGTTTACATTCCACCTTAGGATGGAGTTAAATGCTTAGTGATGTGACAGTCCAACTTCTAACTAGTGATTTTGTTGCATTATTGTGTATAGCACATCCAGTTCGAAGCCGAAAATATCAGTCTTAACTACCTCCTAGAAACAAAGCTTTTGAGGGATGGAGTAGCTCTGAAATATTTGTTTTTCTGGATAGTGGCCTTTTTGTAGAAAGGTATTCTTTTAACAAAAAATAGGAAGAAAGAAAATACACAGTACAGAGGAGAAGGAGCTAGTTATTTGCTCTGTATTGTTTTTCTTCAAATTCTTGGATGCAGTATCAGTGTCATTCATTCCTAAAACAGAAGTTATCATGGTGAAGTATCACCTATAATTCCAAAACTTTCTCCACGATTGAATGATGTATTCCGTATATTATCTGCTCTATTAGAATGGCATCATCAGTGAGCCTGGTATTAATAATGAAGCTTTTGAGCCTGATGAGGAACCTGAGGACAATGAAGATCTTCAAGTTCCCACTAAAGAAGTAGAGATCCAGGTGGACTGGAATTCAGAACTCCCGGTCAAAGTAAATGTCCCCAAGGTGCCCATCCACAGTCTCATTTTCGATTTTGGAGCAGTGTCCTTCTTGGATCTTGTAGCTGTGAGATCAATAAGAACGGTAAGGACCTTTTTTCTGATATTCTGTAAAAATGAATCTAGTCAATGGTTTCTAAATCAAGAGCTGTAGGCCTAAGATAATTTCTGAGTTTATTAAAGTTTGTTGTTGCAAACTACCTTTAACGCTCATAGCGTCATATAGGATGTCAGTCTGTGCATATTTTAGGGGACAAGAACAAAATTACATTACAAGAACATTATTAAAGTTACACAGCAGAGTATGCTAAAATCAGAACTGCAGAATGTGGCCCCCTTGTATGCATGTATTAGGAAAGATTTTAGTTATGTATTTCCTTTCAACGTGCCCCCTGCTCTTAATCTGAGCATAGGACGGTGCTTACTCAGCAAAGAAGTATTCAGCATTTTGTCTTACCCTCATTTTTCAATCTTTAGCCCTAAGATTTATTTATTCCATAATATTTAAATTATGATATGAAAGAAGAATGATTCATGTCTTTATAGGATTTTCTATGGCTAGTATCCGAGTCCTTCATCAACATTACTTAATTCATCTTCAAACACCACTTGGAGGTAATGAAGTGATAATATTCCCGGTTTAGGGAGAGGGAAATGAGGTGAAGAGATTAAGGCCAAGATAAGGCCACATCGTCTTTAGTGCCTGATTACACCCATGTAGGACCTGATTGTTCGGTCTTTAACCTTTTATGATACTTCACCTGTTCAGATGACTGCTTTTGATGACTTCAAGCTGCAGTTGGGATTGCCTGGCCTATCTACGAACCAGATCCTAGATTATCAAGATTCTAGATTACTAAGAAACAGAAGAGGCTACAATTAGCAATAATCTCTGAAAATGCTGTTTTATGAGATTTGCCGGCCGTCAGGGAGCCAGGGGGAAGAATCCAGTCTCCCAGGACAGCTTTTAACTAGCTGAAATACAAGAATGCTGTCTGACTTGCTTCAGCCCTCTGCTTAACTTTGATTGAATTCTGACTTCTGAGACGAATGAGACAGGGGTTGCACAGACATGATTCTTTTCATATGCAACTTTTCCATCCAGGAACAGGTCCATCTGGTGCACTGCATGAGGGAAAGTCTGTGTAAAAAAAAATTTGCATGTGCCGATTAAAGATTATCTCAAGCCACACATATGTGGGGGAAGATTAAGATTGCTCAGACCCCTATAGTTCTTACTTGAAGAGACATAATTATTCTGTAAGAATAGAATAAGAACCTTAATAGACAGCAGTGTGTGTATGTGTAAAATATATAGCTCCACTTACGCTGACCACTTCAGAGACCGGGTACTTAACTAATGGATATTTAAGTACAGCAAAGTATAGCAGGTCCTTTTTTGCTATCCAAAACATGCGATTTGGAATGAAAACAGGCAGAAACAAATGAGAAGTGTGTGTCTACGTGTGTGTATAGAGAGAGAGAGAATATATGTCTGTATGTCAATGATATACATATAGACATACGTATGTATAGTCCTTACAAGCATTATTTATGTCCTTGTTGTAAACTTTTCTTTTTTTAGATAATTAGAGAGTTTGAGAGAATTGATGTAAGAGTATACTTTGCTTCATATCAAGGTAAATATCCATTCTATTATGACTCTAAAATGAAGATAAGAAGGATCTCTAGATGTGTTTGTGAAGGCATTTGTTCCAATAAAAATGTAAATAAATACACTGCTAAACATGGTGGGCTGTGGTGAGATACAAAGAGTGGTGGGGTATGAAGAAACATGAAAGTAAAGGTCAAGACAAACCTATTATTGATAGACTGAGTGATTTGACCGTACATCTGATTTCTGGTAGTTGCACCCCTCTGTTTTGATGTTTATTTGCTAATAATTTATTTTCATCCAGACAACCTTATCTCACAACTGGAACAGAGTGCCTTCTTTGACGATATTGTCAGAAAAGACATGTTCTTCTTGACTGTCCATGATGCTGTACTCTACATAAGGAATCAGATGACATACAGTGACAACCAGGATCCTATATTTGAGAAGGTGAGGATATCCAGCAGTGTTTGTTTCCCTTCCTTCTATCATCTAGACGCCATTCTTGCAATTTCTTGCAATTACACTTTTGAAAACTAGGCCTAGAGTCATAGCACAAAAAAAACGTAAGAATCTTGCAAACTGGACAGCTTCTATAGTACAGGAATATTGTAGTAGTTCAAAGGAAGGGTCTGTCGGCCCCAGCATCTTGTTAGTGGAAAGAACAAGAGTAACAGGCCATAAGGAGAACGCTTCATCTTATGACACGTTTTCTAGCTTCTGACAGCTGGCAAGTTCCTCAGCTGGAGGTTGCGCTTGGACTATTATAGCTAATAGTCAAAGATGGAGTTCTCTCCAGTGTGTCTGTCATATTCCTTTTGGAACCCATTTACACGTCTTTGCTTGACACTACCCTGGGCAGAGGAGCTCTATACGTGCTATGTGAGAACTATTTCCTTCTGCTTAAGCCTGTTGCCTCATAAGTTCATTGGATTTCTATATTGTTAGCTGTATCATTAAGGAACAACCCATTCCCTGTTCCCTTTCTCCAAACCATTAGGATTTTATATACCTCTCTGATATGCACCTTTCAGTTACCGGTTTCCAGAGCTGAGGAGTCCCATTCTACTCGGTGTGACTGCGCACTGCAGCTGCTCCACGCTCGTGTTCATTGCTGCTGGCCTCCTCCGTGCATTTCTTAGTTCTGTTCTGGGTTCTCGGAGATAGCCAGAACATTTTGCAGTGTTAAAGGTGTGGGCACATCATTCATTTGGAAAACGGCCTTTTAATGTTCTCCGTTCTTTTCACCGCAACTCCTTCCTTAGCAATCCCTAGTATAATATTATGAATAAGTAACTAAAATTAATATTATGGATAAATAATTTGGGTGGGACCCTTTTTTTTTGGGTAATTTTTGCTTACTAGAAGTTTGATGCTGTAGTACAGCAGAAATTATCATTTTAATAAAGCCATACAGCAATTTATGATGCTTTTATTATTTTTACAAAGCCCTAACTATAGTCATGAGGAGAGGCAGGGCTTTTCGACGCTGCAGCTTCCTCCCAGCTGACCTAAAGCAACAGTGTTCTTAAGGAACAGTAAACAACAGACCCCTCTGACTTGGGGGGGTTATATTAAGGTATCTCGAAGCAATACCTGAACTTCAATAACACTGACAGCATGTTTCTTAATCTCTTTCTGTCAAGATTTCTCTCATGCAGGAGTCTAAAGAGCCTATAGAGTTCACAGAAACAAGCCGGCCTGATGATGAACTTGACGTTCAGGAAGAGGTACGCACTTTGGAATTTGTCTATTATTTAAAGAAAACTGTTTTTATTCCTTTGCCCGTAGCACTGAGCCATGCTGCTATAGCATATTGGATGAACCGAGTCCTCAGCAGTTTCCTTCTCCACACATGAATACTCTTCCTGGGTACCTGGATGTCAGTGCTTAGTGGAAAAAGTAAATTTTTTTTTTTTTTTAAGATGTAGCAGGTTGTATGTGCACAAGCATCTCCTGATCTGTAGATCTTTAGCCCTGTTTCAGGCTCAGGCAGGCTTACAAATAGCTCTAAAAAGGACTAAGGTGCCTAAAAGACGACTTGGTTAGGCCTTGCGCCTCTGAGTCCAAACTTATCAACATCTCCCCTTCATCACTACTTGAACACAGCAGGCACCTTCTTGCATGCTTCAAACATTTTTATTCTGCAGCTGCATGGGACTGCCCCAGCCTAAACAGCAAAGTACCTCCTCCCCGCCTCTGACTTGCTGGGGTCCAGAAACTGAGCAGAGCAGCGCCCAGAGCATAACTAACAAACATGCAACAACACAAAAGTCCCTTAGAGCAATACCATGGTAATTTGTATTTACAGAATACTGCCAGGGGAGAAAGCAGCACTTACTGCTTAGGTAGCAGTGCAGCAGACAGGGCATTTATCCAGGAAATAGGAGACTGGGCTAATAGGACCCCGTGAGGGGTTAAACTAGCGCTGCATCAATACCTTGGAAGTATTGCAACGCTCCAGGCAGGTAAAGGCACAAGCATTAGGTGTCCCTCCTATTGTGCTATCATGGTTCTAGTCCCTGCACCTGCTGTCTCTACTGCATTTTTATTTCTTTATCTAAAATGGGGCAGTGCTCGGTGCTGGGTCTCTCCGCACCAGCAGCGGGAACGGAAAGGGGCTGAAGGCATGCTGCGACCCTTCCGGCTGACATGCTCTAGCAAAGGCTGCAGCAAGGTTGCTGTGCAACCTGGAAGGAAGTAGGTAAGAGGAAGTTGTGGCTGGGTAGAGGTTGTCAGCATCACCTTGTGTTGTGTTTTCTTCCACTGCATGACATCTCCTAGGAAAACCTGACCAGGGAGGTCAGATTGGCCTGGGAGTCAGAGCAGTGAGAGGAAAAACTTAAGACCAAAGCAAAAGCCTCTTAAACTTCATCAGGGCTCGTTCAATAGATTGTGATATTTGGCACTCCTGATTTCAACCCCTCCTTTTTTTGTTTGGTATGAATATTGCAAGAGATCCAAATATTACTTTTTAGCACACACGAGACAAACACACTTCTTCCACTTCTCTGGTGAGTACTCTAAGCAACAGGTTATTGTGGGGAGAAGCACTTTCCACTCCTCTGGAAGCCACTGGGCAGAAAGGAGTGAAGGATTCACAAAGCTATGAAGATAAGCAGGCCAAAAGCCCTGGCTTCTGATTCCGATTCCCAAGAGAGCTTAGTTATTTACATTACAGAAAAATAAGGAAAAGAATGCTGGCACAAAACCACCAGTCCAAGGTCAAACCGTTCTGAGAGGTTTCCATCCTCCACCTTTATGGCCAGTTTTTTTGAAGGCAAGAGCTAGTACCTTTCAGATCTGCAAATTCCTGACCGAAGTGTCTGATGTAGGCTCCAGTTAGAGGGGGGCTGTTTCGAAGAGACCTTTTACAGTTACTTTATTTGTACTTTCATTGAGGCCAGGTTGGTAACTTGTACATAAATATTTTATTTTTCCAAGTGATTTGTACTCAGCACTAACCATTGTCCCTTTCTCTCCACCTTTTGAAAAACTTGTCAATAGGCTATGCGCAGACTCGCTTCATGAAGAACTGCTGGTACTGTCATACCTGTGAACTCACAGCAATATTTATGCACCGGTATTATAAAAACATTTTCTGCAATGAAACCAATCTTTGCACTTGAAGAAAACCCTGATTCCTTGTCTGAATGATGCAGATCTCTAGAAATCTCCACATTTGACTACCATTATCCCTGAAATACTCCAGACTGATTCAGTGAGCAAGTTCTGACCTGATACGTTGATAAAAAAAATCTATTACAAAAGACTTAATCAGTTTTGGAACTAGTCAGGGGGAAGGTGCATCACACCGTCACTTCAGTGTGTTCAGGAAGAAAAGCTGCTTTGTGTTAACCTAGCCCAGGGGAGTTGAAGAGACTCAAATGTTTTGATCGGAGACCTCCTGTTATGTATTTGTACAACGCCTAGCAAGAGGACAGGAGTTCTAGCTGGCCAAGGCTTTGCAGTCCTAGAACGTTAAGGTGACCACACTTGCTGACAAAACTCTTGAAAAATGCACCTCAATAGTTCTTTCCAAGCAATTCCTTGAATTGCTGCAGGTTGTTAGATAAATGAAACACAGGACAAGTGACAAAGTCACACAAACACAAAACTGTGTGCTGCACTACTATAAAACAATAATTAGGATAAATTTCAATAGAAAAGGCCCTCGGATAGTGGTTCATTAGTTCTGCATTCATCCCATTGTAGTAAATCATGCACTCCTGTTAATGAAAAATTAACAAGTATAAAAAAATCAAAAAAATCAAGTATATGCATAAGATTATTTTGGCTAGGTTATGTATCTATAGCTGATCGAGAGGCAGATCATGACATAGATTAACGAAAACCTTATTCCACAAATACCTAATGAAATTTGTAGAATGGGCTGCTACAGAATATAAGTCAGAATGTGAGCTAGTATAAGGTTTTTTAATGAATTGTAGGAGTTTAGTTAGTTTAAGGAATAGCTATTTTTTTATATAGCATATATATTTTTTAATATACTACATCAAACAGCTGCTGTTCTTCTACAGGAAACATATAGACATTTGACAGTCCATAATGCTCAAGTGCAATAATTTACACAAGACACAGGATTCAAACTGCAAAATTTTAATCCTTGATTTTAGGACTATATAAAATACATATGCAAGAAATCAATGATCTTAACTTCATCATGAAGAAACTGGTTTCAATGGAAAACAGACTGCTACCTTAAATATTTTAGCACTATCTTAATTTTTAAAATGGAGAAAAACCTGTGTGGTGAGGGAATATGTAATACCAAAAGCTTAAGAAATACAGACTCTAAAACCCCTTTAAGCTTCACCATGTGGGCCAATTAGCTTTAGTACGTTCACATATTTAAGTCTCTTTATTCAAGTATGTCAGACAAATTTTCTTGTATCACACTGCACAGAGAAGACTGTTATGTTACTGCAGGTGATGTTAATGGAAAAATCTCAGGTGAAAAGCCGAGCACTAGGTAAGTTATTCTTCTCTAAGGACCGGAGTGAACTCTTTCAAAATCAGTGAAAAAAATTCCTATAAACTTCAGTCAGTTGACCAGGATCCTTCCACAATGGGAAACTGCACCAAAGACTGTCGTCTTCATTCTCTAAATAAGACAAAAACTTCAGCCTTCATGGCACTCGGCAAAGTTTCTCATTTCAAATGCAGTAAAGGTTTGATCCTACATGATATTGATGTTCTAGTTCAAACCAGCAAAAACGCAGGCCTGCGCTTAGAGTTAGGAACGAGCAATTCTTACGTCAGACAGGCTTCTCCACAAGCTGAGAGTTAGGTATGTGTTTAAGAGCCAAATCAGACCGACCTGCACCTCCTAAGATGGAAGCATTGATTAAACTTACACTAATGCTTAGGCTCAGGCTGTGATTTGACACTTCAGGCTTTTAGGAAATAATAGCAAACACTTCCTATCTTCATTCTCTCCCCCTCCATTTGCCAGCATAACTCAGGAGGTTGGTGCTTCTGCCAACATTACTGACAAACCTTTCATATTAGGCCATGGCCTCAGTTTATATTATCCTGCATACAAGCCACTGCTGCCAATGCACGTGAATGAAGGATAAGGCCAGTAGCATGTTTCTCAGAGGATGTATTGTTCCTCTAAAGTGGATGTACATTTTATGTAAAAAGCAAAAGGAAACATTCTGCTTGGGACTGGTAAAGGAGCTTTCTGCTATTTTTAAGCAGAACAAACACCGCAGAAAAAAGTGATATTAGAAAGATAGCAGTGAATGTTTTGTCCTTGAGAGAACATCTGCACTGTGAAGTTTGAGCACAGATTCTTACTTGACAAAAATGTGGGCACAGATTATTTTTGAACCTTCTCTAGTTCTTGCCCATATAGGTATTTAGAAAAAATACATATATATATATTTTCAACAGTCTTCTAGCTTTCTTTACAAATATGACATTTTAGCTGGAATTAGTTGTAATAAAATACAATGCAACGCACTTATTTTTGGCCTGCATATTTCTTCAAGGCAAGGCTGCATTTCTTAACTTTATTATTAAAAAATATTCACCTTTCCTGAATAATAGCATTTCATATAAAGCTTACACTTGCCCAAAACAATAAAGAGCAACATGCAGAAGGCATTCAGATGCCTTTTTCAGTGAGGCAGGGAATACGTGCCTTTTAACACTCTTATCTACATATCCATCAAAATGAAGAATACCAAAATAATAGGTTTTGTAATGAAGCTGAAATTCTGTACAATTTTGTACTAATTCAGACATCCATAAGTAATGCACAAGATATATGTGATTATCTTTTTCAGCTGAATGCAGAAGTGATATTTTTATCTGCACTTGTGATTACTACCATCTTTGCACGTCAAATATTAAATTGGAGACGTATTTGTTTTTTACCCTTTTAAAAAGGCTACATTTTAAAAGTCATTATGTCCATTAACTAGAAAATAAAGTTGTGCATACTGAAAAGTTACTCCATGCATCTGTTCTGTTTTTAAAAACTGTTCTTTTTGTGAATTCATATTATGGTGAAATAAAGTGTATTATGTAGGGATAGGTTTCTCATTTCCCTTACATCTGCCACTTATTTTAGACAACCAGCAAAGTCTCTGTACCTTCTGGGGATAAGAGAAGATACAGTAGGCTTAAATCACAGCTTTTTCATGGTAAGGCTAATTTTAAGGTAATGAGAAGAGCTGTCTGCATGGACACAAAGTCACAACCCTGGAGATTCAGCAAGACAAGCAGTCATCAGTTTTAAGTGTCTGGAGTAGAGCTGTCCCCACCTTACAACTCTGGAAGGGTTAAGAGACTTAAGCTTTACGATCCCTTTAAGCCCTATAGACTATGATTTAGTTATTTTTATATTCCTCTCCTTTCTTCAGTGCTATAAACCTGTTCTATAGACAGTCTCCCCCTTAACTGCTCAGAAGTCACAAAAAGCTAAGTTTATGAAAATATCAGAGCAGTCACAGAGCTCTAGTGCTATCAAGCTTTAGGATGCACTGGAGTTTGCTGCTCCCTTAAGTCACTAACTGTTTTGTTTGTCTGGTTGGTTTTTAAGTAATCCTGACTACGGGATTGCTCTGAGCGCAAGGAATTTGTCCCGTCTCTGGTAAGACTTAAGGCAGCTCATCAGCAGCTGACAGAGCCCAACGTGGCTTCAAGCCCGGCGACTCGCCCAGCTTCTTCAGAAACGGGCAGCAGGCGCGGCACGCCGCCGCGCCGCCCGCAGGCAGGGCGGCCGCAGCCCCCGCGCACAAAGCCCGGCCTCCTCCGTGCTGTTTCCCCCTCCTCCACGAAGGCGCACGTTCACGTCCGTGTTTCCAGGGCCTTTGGAAGCCCGCGCAGGGCAGCGAGCTGCGGCCTCAGGGGGGCCCAGGGCGGCGCGCAGCGTAGGCCGAGCCGCCCG